AGTGTTGACAAGTATGAACAAAATGGAGATGGACTTGAAGGCTAAGCTCACAGCAGTGTCTGCAAGTCATATCCTGTCCGTGGGACTTGTCTCCTTCAACAGTTTGGCATGAGGAGTAGGGTTCTGTGTGTGTGTGTGTGTCTGTGTGTGTGTGTGTGTGAGTGTGTGTGTTGAGAGAGAGAGAGAGAGAGAGAGAGAGAGAGAGAGAGAGAGAGAGAGAGAGAGAGAGAGAGAGTGAGTTTGGGGAGCAGAGATTAAGCTGTTGTGAGTAACCACTTCTATTCCTCTTTCCAACAGCAGGCATATGTCAACCACTGTGCTTAAGTGGACAGAGACTGTAAAGTGGGATGTGATCCCTTTATGACGCTTCTTTTTACTACTGAAACCCCACGTGTTGGCCTTTGCTGTCCTCATCTGAGCCACTATGCTCTGGTTTTCTGGGCAAATGGAAGGGATGGATGGAAAAGAGGGGAATGGGGAGTAGGGGGCAGAATGTAGACAAAGCATAAGTTTTCAAAGACTAAGTTTTGGGTGGCAATTTTATTTCTTTTCTAGGTGGCATGGGAACTCCCACACTTCGAATGGGTGAGTATATGTTTGCTGGGGTATGGAGGGTCTTCATTGTACTCACCTAATGAGCAGGGCAGATTAGCTCTCCCATTTACACCATAGCCCCAGGGCCTGGCCACAGTTTCTGTAGGTTGAGAAAGGTAAGGAAGATTTGGGAAATGTCAGGAAAGGTCCAAAAGTTGGAGGGACAGATTGGCTTGAAGCAGGAAGAGGTTAAGCAACAGAGGTGGCAGTAGAGGACTTAAGGCTAGGAAGTGTCTCTAAAGCAAACTTGGTGGATGAGAGAGGGAGATGAACAGTGGCCATTCTTTTTCTAGAAAGAATACAGGAACCCTTTTGACTAGATGTTTACTAATGGGAACCTAAACCCTGCTGGGTAGGTAAGACACAACCTCAGAACTCATATTGGAGGTGTCAAAGCAATGTAGAAAACTGAGTTTTACTTCCAATTTATGCTTTCCATAACCCCAGTTACTTTCCTTCTTTCCTTCCTTCCTTCCTTCCTTCCATCTTCCTTCCTTCCTCTCCTTTTTTCATTCATTCATTTGTTCATTCATTTATTTGAATGCATGCAACAATCAGCTCAAGGTCCTTGGTCTTTGTGCCCAAATGTTGAATCCCAGGTCGAGTCCTGCCTCATATGTCTACTTGCAGATTGGGGTTTTCCTCACCACACATAATACTTTCTCTCTCTCTCTCTCTCTCTCTCTCTCTCTCTCTCTCTCTCTCTCAAACTCACTGTTCATTATAGTGACATCACTGGAACATCTGGTGGAGGGTGGTTCTTGCTGTCAGTGACCTCCTGTCAGTGGCAGTAGATGGAATGAGTATGAACTCTCCAATCTTTTGAGATCAGTAGTTAAACTCAAGCTTCAAAATTATCTATATAAAAGCATAAGTGACTGTCTCAAGGTTCGATTGTTTGCCTGATAGCTATGATGCACAATGACCACCATGGAATAGACACTGAGACCAGAGGAGAAGGGAGCCCGAATCCTCGCAGAATTGGCCACGGATTAGGTTGCTCCTGGGGCATGGTCGGCACTGAATCTGCCTCACCTGCACACTGGACCCAGAGAGGAGGGAGGAGAGAGCCCGATTCCTTGTGGAATTGTCCATGGGTTAGGTTGCTGCTGGGGCACTGTTGGCCGCGAATCTGCTCCACTCTTACACCGGACCCATTAGGGGATGTTGGAGGCCTGGTGCATGGATTTGTGCACCAGTGGGGTCCTTCAGCCTGATATGAGCCCTCTCACAACCTGGGACCCCTTAGGGGATGTCAGAGAGCCAGTTTAGGCATGATCCCCAGGCCAGAAAGAGGGACCCTGCTGGTGCATGAATCCATGCACCAGGACTCTAGTGTTGTATAAGTGTTGACAAGTATGAACTAAATGGAGAAGGACTTCGAAGGCTAAGCACACAGCAGTGTCTGCAAGTCAGGCCCTTCCCATGGGGCTTCCCTGTTTCTACAGTTCAGGCCTAAGGGTGACTAGAAGGAACTTTTGCAAAGACTGGCCCAGTGCAGTGAGCATTGCCCTTCCATGAACTAATTCCGTCCTCCTATCACTTTATAGAGTAAACTAATATGAAGAACAGTGCAATAATTTTCCATAGCCCTTGCTCTGTGACTTCGGAGATAATCAGAATTTACTCACGTCGTCATCAACACCCACAAACTTGATTATTCCCACCTTGAACTCTCTCTCCCTGGATACTGCGTCACCATGGTTTATGGGGTCTCCTATAATGTGACTGCTTTCCCTTGCCTCCTTCCTTCATGGGCTCCTGGCCCTTGTCAACCACTTAAATCTGATCTTTAAGAGTTTCAGAACATTGAACATCTCTCTACGTGAAATGTGAAATCACCCAGGAGCCTGGCAGGGAGTAGACACATGCCATAGGAGCCTCTGGGAGAGGAAGACAAAGGGCAGGAAGGAGGCGATGTCCTTTCCATGGAAAAGGCCAATCTCCAATGTGAGGTTAGAGTGGAAAACCATCGCCCAGGTGCCTATTGAAAAGGCAGGTTCTAGCTTCCTTTTTAGAGAGCCTGGTGCAGAAGGTGTGGAGTGAGGCAAGGGACTCTGAGTTTCCACAAGTGTCCCAGGTGATTCTGATGCAAAGGGTCCCCAGGGGACCTTGATAAAAGCTGGAACATCTGGCCCGAAGGAGGAAGGGTGGGGGCTGCAGGTGTAGGGATGTGAGAGGTTCCAGCAGCGATACCCTCAACTCTGCTGACCTGGCTTTTTTCCACACAGCCTTCGAAGACATGTCAAATTACGATGAGCAAACCATTTCATTAGGTGAGTTGGGCAGGTTCTCTGCTTGGATCTCAGGCCCTGCTGAGCCCTTGACTCTCTTTGGACCCATAAACACCCTGTCAAGGCTGGGGCTCAGCCTTGACAGACCCTGAGGGAAACCTTCCCCAGCCAGGCTCCTCCACCACCTCCTCATCTCACTGCTGTGACCCACACAGGCCCCTGGCCACAGGGAGAGCCACCTGTCTTCTTTGAGTCCTGGGGTTGGAGTATGGGTGTGTGGGTTTGGGAGTGGAGACTGAGTCTTTCCAATGGAATGGGAGTAGGAATTTCACTTCTCAAATGAGCCAGTGGCTTTAGTGCCAGGAACGTGGGATGTGATCCCTACACCAGTCCCCATTTAGCACAACTGAAATCCCAGGTGATTGCCTTTGCCATCCTCACATGAGCCACTGGAGTCCGGTTCCCTTGGCAAAGGGCAGGGGTGAATGGAAAAGAAGTGGTTGGGAGGAAGGGGCAAAATAGAGACAAACCGAGATTCTTCAGAGACTAACTCTTGGATGTGGAATTTAATTTCTCCTGTAGGCAGCACAGATGCTCCATCCACCCAATAGGAGTGTTTGCTGGGGTGGGAAGGGTCCTCATTGTACTCATCTGGTGAGCAGGGCAGAGTGCCCCTGCCTTTACCACCATGGCCTCAGGGCCTGGCTATAGTTTCTGTGGGATGGGAAGGGCCAGGAAGGGTCAGGAATGTGGAGGGATGGACTGGGATGGAGCAGAAAGAGGTTAAGCAAGAAGGTGGCGGCAGTAGAGGATGGAAGCCTAGGAAGTGTCTCTCAAGCAAATTTGGGGGGTGAGAAAGGGAGATGACCACTTGCCATTCTCTTTCTAGGAAGGGTGCAGAAAGCCCTTGGGCTGGGTGTTTGCCGGGAGCCGGTCCATGCTTGCTGTTTCAAGGGACCTGGCATATATGGCATACTGTTCTTAATATGTTTGCTCACCTTCTTGGCACTATGTGTTTTAACCAAGGTCTCTGAGAAAGGTTGTTTCCCCAGGTAGGGATTTTCCCCTGAAGTTAGGGAGGGAATAAAACCTCTTAGCTAGTGCCAGGTGGGTAATTAATCACTTTAACTACGAACAATCATGCTTAAGCTACATAATCTTTACTCCCTGGAATGGAGATAAGAAACGCCCTAACCTTTGTAATAGAGATTGATAGGATTGAATCAACTGGTATAAATACAGATGTAATAAGACAGCAAGACTCAGAACTTAGAATACAGAGCTTAGAACACAGAACTTAGAATACGGAACCAAGAGAGACAGAACCTAGGCACAGAACCTACACAGAACTAGAGACAGAAGAACTTCGCTGGAGAGAACATGGCAAAAGATCCTGGACTGAACCTGACTACAGAAATGGGCAAGAGAACCTGACTAGAACCTGGTGACTGAACCTGGCTGGAGAACCTGGACAGAACCTGGCTGGAGAACCTAGCAAGAGAACATGGACACAGAACCTGGCTGGAGATCCTAAGCAGAACTTCGCTGGAGATCCAGACCAGAACTTGGCTGGAGATCCTGGCTAGAGATCCTGGCTAGGCTGCTGATCAACTGAACGCTGTCTCCGTGTCCTTCCTTCTTCGCCGACTCCGTCCACACCTTTGGGGACCCCTGGACCCGCTGGGGTTGGACCCTAGCATATGGCGCCCAAACAGGGACCCCTAGGTAAGCCCCACTCTCGGGATGGATAGGACTCCACCGTAGGAAGAGGGTGGATAGTCAACGCCGACTCCGTCCACACCTTTGGGAACCCCTGGAACAGGATTCCCCTAGGTAAGCCCCCCACATTGAGAACCCCCACATTCGGGACGGATAGGACTCCACCAGGGTACTGCAGACCCCCCTATAGAGGATAAGTAGGGTAAGAAGGTGGATAGTACAGAACTTAGATTGAGAAGATGTGCCATACTGAGTCCAAAGAAAGAAGACTCTGTATTGATCTTTAGATTAAGAAGATGTGCCATACTGAGTCTAAAGAAATAAGACTCTGTATTGATCTCTTAACTCATATGCTTGCTAGCAGAGGAATTAAGGTTACTCCCAGTCAGACAGAATGTTTTATACAAAGAAGTATGTCCATGCTTTTCTGAGGAAGGAAAGGTAAATGTAAATGCATGGGAGAAGGTAGGCCCAAGGAGCCTTATCCTTAACCCCACTGCAGCCTTTCCACCCTGGGAAAGTGCTTTTCTGAGGAAGGAAAGGTAAATGTAATGGCATGGGAGAAGGTAGGCCCAAGGAGCCTTATCCTTAACCCCACTGCAGCCTTTCCACCCCGGGAAAGTGCAGGATTGGCAAGCTCTCCCTGGGGTGATAGATCAGGACTCAGGTAATAGCGGAAAGCGCCAATCCTACTCTTAAAATGGATACAAGAGAGCATTTCGGGGTTTTCTTTTTAATGCCTGCTTTTAAAAAATAAAAAAGGGGGAATTTGCCGGGAGCCGGTCCATGCTTGCTGTTTCAAGGGACCTGGCATATATGGCATACTGTTCTTAATATGTTTGCTCACCTTCTTGGCACTATGTGTTTTAACCAAGGTCTCTGAGAAAGGTTGTTTCCCCAGGTAGGGATTTTCCCCTGAAGTTAGGGAGGGAATAAAACCTCTTAGCTAGTGCCAGGTGGGTAATTAATCACTTTAACTACGAACAATCATGCTTAAGCTACATAATCTTTACTCCCTGGAATGGAGATAAGAAACGCCCTAACCTTTGTAATAGAGATTGATAGGATTGAATCAACTGGTATAAATACAGATGTAATAAGACAGCAAGACTCAGAACTTAGAATACAGAGCTTAGAACACAGAACTTAGAATACGGAACCAAGAGAGACAGAACCTAGGCACAGAACCTACACAGAACTAGAGACAGAAGAACTTCGCTGGAGAGAACATGGCAAAAGATCCTGGACTGAACCTGACTACAGAAATGGGCAAGAGAACCTGACTAGAACCTGGTGACTGAACCTGGCTGGAGAACCTGGACAGAACCTGGCTGGAGAACCTAGCAAGAGAACATGGACACAGAACCTGGCTGGAGATCCTAAGCAGAACTTCGCTGGAGATCCAGACCAGAACTTGGCTGGAGATCCTGGCTAGAGATCCTGGCTAGGCTGCTGATCAACTGAACGCTGTCTCCGTGTCCTTCCTTCTTCGCCGACTCCGTCCACACCTTTGGGGACCCCTGGACCCGCTGGGGTTGGACCCTAGCAGGTGTTCACTAAGAGGGAACCTGAGGCTGCTGGGTAGGAAAAGGCAGAACTCAGAACCCAAATTGGAAGTTTTTAAATGACTCAGGAAACTGAGCTTTACTTCCAAATTTATACTTTGGTCATGACTACTTTTCATTCATTCATTCATTGGTTGATGCATGCAGCAAACATTTACTGAGGGCTCATTGGGCAAGAGGCATTTTCTGAGCACTGGGATAGGACAGTGAACCAAACTGAAATGCCTGCCTCCCTGGTATTTCATTCTAGTGACTTCTCATTTTCACAAGGTCACCTTGAGGCCACCTCAGGTGTTCTGGCAGAAGCAGGCAGCTCCCAACATCAACTCCTTCATTAATTCCTTATAGACCCTGAAAATACAGGCATAAATGAATGTAGTACCAAACACTTTATATCCATAAATTTATATAATGATCATGGCACCCTCATTTTGAAGTTCAATGCTGGAATCTCTGACATTTTCATCTCTGGAGACCAATCTAGAACCCACATTATTTCCGACGTGTCTCAGAAATCAGCAACTGTTCAGTTTCTTCCTCTTCCCTGTGACCCTTTCCAGGATCCTCTTCTCTTGTCCCTGCGTGTACCGCCCCCACCTCATTTCAGCAGAGACTCTCCATCTTTCTAGCCTATTGTGGCAATTCATCCCAGAGCTCAAGCATGCTATCTTCAGAGATGCTCTGGGTCAGCAGCTTGAAGGGAAGAGGAATTTTGCTCATGTTGATGGGGAAGGAATGGTATAATCTGAGAATTGTCTCTGTTTCTGGTTGGCATTAATGCCCAGGGGCAGATTTCAAGCTGCTACAAGAGGAGGTTTCCCAGAAGGTAAAAGCAGCCGAGCTCTCAAAGGACATGCAGAACATTGTGTTCTCCAACCTCCTGGCCATGCTTGGGGACCGCGAGGCTCTTCAGGACCTCATGGACAAGGTGAGGGGCCCCGCCGCTCCCTAAGCCTGATCCGACTTGTAAATGGGGATGTTTCAGAGGTACGACTGCCAAGGTGTGTGGGGAAAGGAAAATGGGGGTAATCTTAGTGGGATGAGAAGGATGTCTGAGGTTGGGGACTATGGCCTGTGCCCAATGACCAGGACCAGGGAAGGCAGCCCTCACAGACTGGGGGTGCTCCATGCTCCCTGGGGGTGCATGGAGCCATTACCCCCACTCCTTGGTTAATCACTTGTAGACGCAGAATTTACCGGTGAAGTCACTGATGTTATTATCACCATCATTAATAAGCCCTGTCTCCTATAGCTTGAACAGGAACCCTTCGGTCATTTGGATGGCCCTGGTGGCACCATCCTAACTGAACTGCAAAAGGACTCCTGCTATTCAGGGGTTGTCTCAAAGTGCCTCATTCTTTACCTGCTTGAAACCTTAATGGGTAAGAGTGATTTGGAGGAAGAATGGGGGTGGGCCCCCCAGAGCCCCGAAATGGTTACATTAGGTGTCACCTCTCCAAACCCCTTGACAAGTTATGATTGTTCACCCTCACATCACAGGCCTCTCCGAGGTCAGCAGGGCTCAGTGTATGAGCTTGCCCTGTGACAGAGCCTGAGGCCGGCAAGGCCAGCCAGGTTCATGCAGCGGATCAGTGGGCGGTGATGCCAGGTCCAGCCACAGAAGCCCACCCTGGGCCATGTTAGGGAGCTTCCTGGAGACCATCCCACGAGCACGAGCAGAAGGGGGACTTTCCAGGGCAGGGAACTTGACCTTCACGCCAGTGAGTTTTATTCCTCTGCCTCAGAGTTCGCTTCTAAAGGTCTCTGAGTTCACCGTGGGGAGAGGAACATCTGACTCTTTCCCCAAATGTCCCCCTGTCCCCAGTGCTGAGTGACATCCAACATGTCCTGCTGGCTCAGTCCATGGAGAAGAGGATCCTCCTTCCACAGAGGGACCTGGTGAGCAACCCCAGGGGCCGGCGTCCTGGGAAAGAGTGAGGGAAGCGGGATAAGAATGGTTCTGAGACAGGAGAGAAGACTGGGGTTGCTGCTGGGAGGGGAGGGGAGGTCCCGGTGTGGGTCTGGGAAATCCAGGCTGCATCTCTGTCTGGGAAACAGGCCCAGTGGGCATGAGTCTACCTGGGGAAGGTCTCTGTTTCCATGGCAACCCTGCAGAGGGCCCCTCCCCCCAGCTCTAAAATAGCCATCTGTGAATACAGGTTTGGGGAGCTCAGGGCATCTGAGTTATACCCCTGATGTACTCACACGGTTACCATTTGCAAATTGGACACTCTCTCTGTATGCATATATATGTAAGTACATATGTGTGTAGACACGTACATCACACATTGCACACGCAGGCATACGCACACAATTCCAAACCCCACTATTCTGCTGAGTGAGTGTCAGTGTCCCTATTTATCAGCTGAGGAGCCAGGGCTCAGTGATTTCCAACAACGTGTCCATGGTCCCACTGACTGCAGATAAGAACAGGTCGCGACCCCAAAGCTCCTGCCCCCACAGTCACCCTGCATGACCCCTGGCCCTTGGGACCGAAGGCTCTCTCTTCCTGACCTCAGAGGCTGGCCTGTAACATCTGATACTGTTTCTTTAAGGTGAGGAGCATCCTGGAGCCCAACTTCAACTGCTCTGAGAACACTCCCTTTACCCTCCAGCCTGAGCTCCTGGCCCCACTCCAGGGGGAGGCCTTGGCCATTACCTATGGGCTGCTGGACGAGTGTGGCCTGAAGATGGAGCTGAACAGCCCCAGGTCAACCTGGGACCCGGAAGCCAAGGAGCCCCTGTGTGCCCTCTATGGGGCCCTCTCCGTGCTGAGCCAGCTGGCTGAGGCCTGAGCCCTCCTGGGGGGCAGGCCAGGGAGTCAGTCCTGGTCCTGTCCTTTGCTGCAAACACCCCCAGGCTGTTCTCTGTATTGATGAGTCTGTATCTATTCCACAAATAAGTGATAAGTCTTTGTCTTTGATTTATTTTGCTTAGCACAAGACCTTCAAGGTTGGTCCATGTTGTCACAAACCACAGGCGACTCTGGCTGCTGAGTGGGGGGATGGGTTGGAAGGTGGGAGCCCACATGGATGTAGGGAGAGCATTGAAGGAGTTTCTCTAATTGCCCAGGCACTCAGTAGTATATTTTAAAAGATCAGTGGTATATCTGAAAAGGTAGGAGCTTGAAAAGTAGATATATTTAATTGTGGTTGAAATAGATCCCAGGAATACTTGGGGGATATATATGTAAACTCATAGGATTACATCCTGTGCTTCATCTCTTGAATGACCTAGATTGGCGCTATTTTCTAATGAATTTATAATTGACACCAGAAGGTGGCAGCATTGACACACAGAAGGAAGCTTGTTGGTGATGGCACTTTCCTTGACTTGCTTTGGGACTTCTCTCTACTCTACTCTCCCACCTCCTTCCCCCCTCCCCTTCTCCCTTCCTCCTCCTTTGCTGCCTCCTCACTGCATTGATGTGGAATAGGCTGGGAGAAATGGGGCTGGAGCAGAGGGGGTCAACACTGGCTTCTTTTTATAGCCTCTGAACCTTCCTTTTAAACACTGCATTGGTTGTATTGAATGATTCCCATAAAGAGCTCTGGGAGGTCAGAGTGAGTTATGGGGAACTTAGAGCTGTTTCCAGTGTTTCTGGAAACGCCAGCCCTTCTGCTGGGATTACTGTGGTTCTGTGGGAAACCTGTTGTCTCATGCTGAGCCCAGGCAGAAGCCCTGAAGAGCTTGAATGTCGCTCAGTAAGCAGGGTATATAGTTTCTAAATGAATTCAGCCAAGCATAGGAACTGTTCAAAATATTGCAACCTTGGTCAACCCATTGGAAAGCAGGGCTGGTGCAAATGATAGGGGGACTTATGGTCTGATAGATAGAGCACCTGCATTAATCTGGAAAATAATCATTATTTTAAATCTTAGAACACATATACTTATGTGAATAGGGGGTTAAGTTGTTCCTAAGTTTCCTTTCCAAGGCCTGTGGGAAGCAATGGAGGAGGTGACTCAGCTGTGAACCCAGCAAGCAGAACCAATAAGCATGGTGAGACCAACTGACCAGGAGTCAAAACATCATCTCATCAACATCATCTCATTACCTGATGACTAAGGACAATAGCTGACATCTGGGGAACCCCAGGGCTGCGCATAGCTGCATTCCATCCCCAGCCTCACCCCAGCCCCTGTATAACCCTGTCCCTCATTGAATACTTGTAAGCACCCTCTCTTCTTGGTTGGCTGTCCTTCTCAATAAATGTCTTCTATGATTCGACCCTGCCTTCGTTATTGGACACAGCGACAGGCAGCCCGAGCCCAACCAGGGGTTTCCCGGTAACAAAAATGTGGGGATTTGCTGTCTTCTTGGAGCACATCCTCGGGAAGAATTGCAGCTGCATAGGTCTGGGCTGGAGTCTGAGGTCACCGCTGGGCGACCTCTGCCGGATAACTCCATTCTCCCCGCTTCCTTTTCCTCCCTTCATTGGGTTGTTATTGAATCAAATAATGTCTCTAAAGAACCTACGCAGTGCCTAACACGTAGGTGATACTCAATAAGCTGTTCTCGAGTGAACTGAACCGAGACAACAGTGAGGGATGCCTTGGAAGCCTGGGTGTCCCTGCTGTGGTCCCAGGGCAGCCCCAAAACCAGGGGGTGGAGGAGTGGGTCTCTGGTCCGGGACGTTGAACTCTTCAATTTTTAGAAATTCTCAGGCAGTGGAGCATGACTAAGGATGCCCTCCCCCTGGTAGGGACTCTAGGCTAGGCACTGCTCTTGTAGCCTGCTTCACAGCCTGCAGTAGAGCACACATAAGTTTTTATTTACTTATTTTTAAACATCAGGGGGTCTTTTAATTTGAATGCAGTTAGCCCTGGGTTATCTGAGGTTGGCGTCAAATCCGCCTAGTCCTCGTTGTCACAGAAGGAACCAGACAGGGATTTGCTGCCAGGATCCACCTTCTCTCCTTTCTGAGGAGGTGGGGAGCCTCTAGGCCAGTGATGGCGAACCTTTTGAGCTCGGTGTGCCAGCATTTTGAAAAACCCTAACTTAACTCTGGTGCTGTGTCACATATAGAAATTTTTTGATATTTGCAACCATAGTAAAACAAAGACTTATATTTTTGATACTTATTTTATATATTTAAATGCCATTTAACAAAAAAAAAATAAACCCCAAAAATGAGTTCGCGTGTCACCTCTGACACGCGTGTCATAGGTTCTCCATCACTGCTCTAGGCTGACAGTCTAAGATTAGGGAGGAAGTGAGTGCTTGAATGCAGTGTGGGTAAACTGGTGCCAGGCCTTCTTCCTTGGCGTTTTCAGGCCAGCAGGGGGCAGGAGAGTGTGCTCCCACCTGCCCCAGGTGTGCTGGGAGCAGAGGTCTCCATGCAGCTCAAGTCAGAAAGGTACTGCAGGGGCATTGTGCCCAGCTGGTCTTCGCATGAATGTCTCTGGTGGCTTTGCCTCTAGAGGACATTGAGACAGTCCCCACGTGGGACCGGAGGCCCTCTCCCCCTGTGCTTGGGCCTCTCAGGCTGTGTCTTTGCTGATTGTCCCCTGGATACAGCGAGGCCCTGCATTCCCTATAGAGGCAGCTCCCTCCCTCCCTCAATAATTGGAACCAATTATGCAAGTTCTAACAGCACTTTTTAGATAATTTCTTTTAGTTCCTGTTTAAATAATCATGCTGGCCAATGGCTCTTTGTTAAAAATTCTCCTTTTTATTGGGGAACTATGCCCCTGTTTCTGGGTGTGAATTTGTATAGGTGTCCCTAAGAGATTGGGGACAAGCTTGTCGTTAGATGCATTGTTCACAGAGTGCACACAGATGCCAGGTGTTGGGGATACAGGAGTGAACAGGACACCTTCATATATATCTACTTATATAAAAACCATGGGTGGTATTCGTCACATACAGACAAACAGCAACCGAGCGGCAGGAAGTCAGTCCTACAGGGGTTGTCTTGGCAATGGCTGCACCCTCCCCCAAGCTGTTTCCTGGAGCTGTGTCCTGTAAGGGCAGAGTTTGAGGCAGGAACCCGCCCTGGGAGCATGGAGGCAGATCTTTCTAAAGTGTGCCGCGCCAGCACTGGGCGAACCTGAGTGGGGCGGCTGAAAGGCTTAGAAAAGACAGACAAGAGAATGGAAGCCGGGTCTTGGTGGGATGCTGCTTCTCTGAGAGACAGCGACCATGCCCACAGCCATGCCTTTAGTTTATAGCAGATGCTATGATGCAAAGTAAGGGTGTGACCAAGATGTTTACAAACATTCTCCTGAGTTTCAATCCTACTCAACTACATGCACCTGAACTCTATCAAGCCCACATCACTCAGGCATGTGGGGCCACGTGTTCCGACCATAGGTTCAAGCTCACAACTACAGCTGTTGGTTATAATTGTGCTGGGAGGGCCCTGCCCTCCAAGCTGGGACTTGCACATGGCCATGAGAGGACTGTGCCCTCTCATCAGTCCAAAACACTGTAGCAACTCCCCACAATAAAGTTTTAATTCTGTTTCTTTGTTACTAATGTTGTGGCCCCACCCCATAACAAAGAAACAAAGGAAAATTTCCCCATCGAATTTCTGAATACTATTACTCCTTCGGGAATGCCGGGAATGCCGTGTCATAAATTAAAATTGAAAGTGGGTGCAATCATCATGCTATTGAGAAATCTCAATAGTAAATGGGGTCTTTGTAATGGTACCAGATTCATTATCAAAAGATTACGACCTAACATTATCGAAGCTGAAGTAGTAACACGATCTGCAGAGGCAGAGGCTGTTCTGATTCCAAGAATTAATTTGTCCCCATCTGACACTGGCCTCCCATTTAAATTGATTCGACGACGGTTTCCCATGATGCCAGCATTTGTGATGACTATTAATAAATCACAAGGACAAACTCTAGACAGAGTAGGCATGTTCCTATCTGAACCCGTTTTTGCACATGGTCAGTAATATGTTGCTTTCTCTTGAGTTTGAAGAGCATGTGATGTTACAGTTAAAGTTCTAAGTACTTCATCACAAGGGAAATTAGTCAAGCACTCTGAAAGTGTTTTCACTCTTAATGTGGTGTACAGGGAGATATTAGAGTAAGTTTAATCACTTTATCAGTCATTGTTTGCATCACTGTTGTTTTTATATCATGTTTTTGTTGTTTTCATATCATATTTTTGTCGTTTTTATATCATGCCTCTGTTGTTGTATCCTTTTGTTACTGTTTATTTATTAATAAATTTATATATTATTTTCATATACATTTTACTAATTTCCTTTTATCTCTCACATTTCTATTATAGAGAAAGGGCAAATAGCAATGTTAAAATATCTCTGCTAATTAATTTCCTTTTCAAAAAATATATATTTTATTGATTTTTTACAGAGAGGACGGGAGAGGTATAGAGAGTTAGAAACACTGATGAGAGAGAAACATCAAGCAGCTGCCTCCTGCACACTCCCCACTGGGGATGTGCCCGCAACCAAGGTACATGCCCTTGACCGGAATTGAACCTGGGACCCCTGAGTCCGCAGGCCGATGCTCTATCCACTGAGCCAAACCAGTTAGCCAAACCTTTTAATGTGCACGAATTTCATGCACCGGGCTACTAGTGCTTATATATTAGTAAATGCATATAAGTCCCTTGGTTGATCTCTTACCACCCCCCTCCTACCCTCCCCTGGCTTCCCTCTAAGGGTGAGGGCATGTGCTGGGGGGTGGCAGCAGCCAGGGAGATGTCAATGGGGGAAAAAGAAGACATATGTAATACTTTAAACAATAAAGAATTTAATTTTAAAATAAGATATACATTTATGTGGCAGTTTTAAAATAAGTCCACAAATCTTTCCTCTATTTAAGAGCTGAGCTTGTGTGGGAGCTGGGCTTGGCGACTGACTTCTAACAAACACAATATGGCAGAGTTCGCTGTGTGTGACTAGGTCATAAAAGGCATCAAACTTTCTCCTCCCACTCCCTCTCTCTCCCATTCTCTCTCGTCATTTACTCTGAGGTAAGCCACCTGCCATGTCACAAGGACACTCAGGCCACATATGGGCAAGTAACTGAGGCCTCCTGCCAACAGCTACATGGAAAACTATCCTCAAAACAGGTGCCCCAGCCTCAGTGAGCCTGCAGGTGACTGTGGCCTCTGCCAGTCTCAGATGCAGTCACACGAGAGCCCCACGCCTGCACCAGCAGCTGAGGCCACTCTCAAATCCCCGACCCATGGGAATAGGGAGATGTAAACCAAATGTGTGCTGGTTTAAGCCATGTTTTGGGGTGACTTGTCTCACCTTTCTTGAGATGCCAGTTATTAAAACACTAGTAGCCCGGTGCACGAAATTCATGCACAGTGGGTTCATGATGATTGCACCCACTTTCAATTTTAATTTATGACACAGCATTCCCGAAGGAGTAATAGTATTCAGAAATTCGATGGGGAAATTTTCCTTTGTTTCTTTGTTATGGGGTGGGGCCACAACATTAGTAACAAAGAAACAGAATTAAAACTTTATTGTGGGGAGCTGCTACAGTGTTTTGGACAGGTTCAAGCCTTGGACTGATGAGAGGGCACAGTCCTCTCATGGCCACGTGCAAGTCCCAGCTTGGAGGGCAGGGCCCTCCCAGCACAATTATAGCCAACAGCTGTAGTTGTAAGCTTGAACCTATGGTCAGAACACATGGCCCCACGTGCCTGAGTGATGTGGGCTTGACAGAGTTCAGGTGCATGTAGTTGAGTAGGATTGAAACCCAGGAGAATGTTTGTAAACATCTTGGTCACAGTAGGGGGGTGAGGGCATGTACTAGAGGCCCAGTGCACAAAATTTGTGCACAGGTAGTGTCCCTAGTGGCTGCTGGCCAGCTAGGGCCTCCCTTCCTCTGCTGCCAGCTAGGGCCTTCCTTCATTCCACACTTCCCCCTGGTGGTCAGCACACATCATAGCGAGCGATCTAACTGCCAATTGTTTGAACTTCAGAGGGGACACTTTGCATATTAGGGGGCACTTTGCATATATATATATATATATATTTCATATATATATATATATTTCATATATATATATATATATATATTAAGATTAAACAGTTCCCTCTTAGCGTTTACCTCAGCTAATCCATTTGTGTAAAACATTGTACAAAATATTTCCAGTGAACCTCTGTGTCATAGGGATTTTAATATAAAAAATAAGACAGATCCCTACCTCTCCCATTGGGAGATTGTTTTGAAAGAAAGGAGACACTTCATTATTTACCGTATTTGTGAATAAATTAGATTGTCCTT